CAAGGCCAGCCTGGTCTACAGAGTAAGTTCCAGGACAGGCTCCAAAGCCACAGAGAAACCCTGTCTCGGGGAGGAAAAACAACAACAACAAAAAAGAATCCCAGTCAAGTCCAGCTTGAGTTTCTTGAAGTAGCAGGAGCATGGTGGCTAAATGGTCACTTACAAGAACATGGTTGACAACTCACAAATGATGCACTCTGGAGTCCCCTCTCCAGTCCACCTCTTACCTCCTGCCTGCCAATGTGGGTGGGGTAGGAGGAAGAAGGCCCTTGGGATCTCAGGGCTCTATTGCACCTCCTGTCCTGACTAGGGAATGGTAATAGCCGTGTCTTGTGAAGGTCTCCCCACATCACACCCCGAAGGGAGTCTCGTGCTGCCATTATTAGTCTGGGTCTCAGTGTGCGAGACAGTCTATGGACTGTGAGACGGAAGTGCAATTGAAATAAAGGCTTCCCTACCCAAGCGGCTTTTGGCTTTGGTCTTTTATCACAGCAACAGAAAAGCAACAAAGACAACACCTCTGCACAAAATCTTAAACTCCACTGCCAAGAAGCAAATACTACATGAAGGCAAGTACCCAGCTTCCCTGGAGACTCTGTCAAGTACATAATTATCAAGACATGTATGGTTTTTTTAACATGTTACTTACATATAACTACCCTAGAAGAGCCAAACTTCTCTCTGTTGGGTTTTTCGTTTGGTCGTGGGTTATGTAAGCATGAACACTGTTACAGTTGTTTGGGGCTTATTTAATTCTTGTCCACATTAACTAGTCTAGTTATTTCTAGTAGGTTCCCTTTGCCCATTCTTTATTGTTTTCTTTTCTTCCATTTACCCCTTCCTTCGTCTTTCCTTCTCTTTTTCTCTTTCCTTTACTCTTTCTCTCCATCTTTATTTCTTTTTTTAAAGATTTTATTTATTTATTATGTATACAACATTCTGCTTCCATGTATATCTGCACACCAGAAGAGGGCACCAGATCTCATTACAGATGGTTGTGAGCCACCGTGTGGTTGCTGGGAATTGAACTCAGGACCTCTGGAAGAACAGTCAGTGCTCTTAACCTCTGAGCCATCTCTCCAGCCCATCCATCTTTATTTCTATCCATCTCTTCTCCCCCCGCCCCGTCCCTCCCTCCCTTTCTTCCTTCCTTCCCTTGAATGACTTGGAACTCAACTGTGTAGAGCAGGCTGGCTTCAAACTCAGGGAGATCCTCCTGCCTTCGGAGCTCTGGGATCACACACATTCTGGCATCTTTAGTTTTGTAAGGAAAGATACACATCTTTGTGCTTTCCCAGCAAGGCCCTAGGAAAACCAAAGGTAGATTATATAGTATGTATTATATATAAAATCAGCTTCATTTTAATGAAATTTGGGGAGGAAAGAGGCCTCTGGGATTGTGACGGGCCTGCCCTAACAGAGGTTGCTTTGATCCAGGCCCCCTCCACTGGGCAGCTGAGGCCGCCTGGAGCCCAGGGGCACCATGGGCATCTCTCATTCTTCCAAGGAGGCGTGGGAACGCGAGAGCAGGAGCGACTTCTGGTGGACGCAGATCCAGGAGGGGGTTCCTGAGCCAGGAAGACTTCAGCTGGGACCAGATCAAGCAGGTTCCGGCTGCTGTCCATGGTGGATGGTTACCAAAGACAGCTCGAAAGGTCTGCATAAAGATCTTATAGGGCAGCGTAAGGGGCGTGTCTAGGGGTACACACAAGGCTCAGGATTGGTGTGCCTCCAGGCTTGGAGGGTTTGCCCTGTGTTGATTGGCCAACTGGTTGTTATGGCCCATAGGCCCTCCCAGGCAGGCAAGGGCATCTCGAGCACGTGTTACTGTCATGGCTGCCGAAATGGGGGGCTGGTCCCTTCACCTCACAAGTATATCCAGGCACTTGGATTTTCCATTAATTCCAGATGTAGTCTAGTGGGCAACCAAAAAAATAGCCATCACGATGTAAAAAAAAAAAAACTCAGTGTGCAAAACAGAAAAAAGAGAAAAGAAAAACTGATTCAGACACAACCTGATAATTTTTTTCTCTTGTGTTTTTGAGACATGCTCGCCATATGTAACTATGGTGGTTTGAAGGAGAGTGGTCCTCATAGGCTCATATATCTGAATACGTAGTCACCCAGTGTGTGGAACTACTTGAGAACCAGGACTGGAAGATGTGGCCTTGTTGGGGGAAGTGTGTCACTGAGGGTGGGTTTTGAAGTTTCAAAAGCCCATGCCGGTCCTAGTATTTCCCCTCTTCGCCTGTTGCCTGCGGACGAGGTGTAAAGCTCTCAGCTGCTGCTGCAGAACCATGCCACTGAGGAGCCCTCTAAAACAGTAAGCAAGCCTTTACTTAAATGCTTCCTTTTGTAACTGTTACTACCTTGATCATGGGGTCTCTTCGCAGCAATAGAACAGCAACTAAGACAGGGGGACTCCTGCGTCATCCTCCGGAGTACTGAAATGTCAGGTGCGCCCTCCGTGCCCAGTTTGCACCTTGTTTATTGAAAGGAAAATTGTTAAGTTGGTGGGGTAAGAGCGTTACAGAGAATTCTGGGACGTGTAGTCCAGACTCTTTTTTGTGGTCAGAGCACTTCTACGGGAAAGCTCGACTTTGGCAGTGTTCCGTGGGAGAAACTAGAGTATAATCCGCATATTTGGCGGGATTCCGGCTGCTGGAGGGCTAGAAAGCAAAGACAGTTAATCCGAGGACTCTAGGAAATGCCACTCACGCACGCATGCGGCGTCGGCACAAACTCCCTAGGAATCCTGGGAGTTGTAGTTCCGGAGCTTGGCGTTGCCAGCGCGTTTCGCCTGCAGTGGTTGGAGTGCCAGTGCTTGCATTCCTGCGGGGAAGGTGAGTGGGAACGGATGGGCTTGGGGGGCTCCTGACCTCTTTTGACTTCCACGACCTGGTAACGGGATGGGCGAGGACCTCTTCCGGGTTACCGAAATGAGACGTTGTTGCTGATGTTGCGGGGACAGCAGCGGCCGCTGCCTTCTGATTTGGGGGAAAGTTTAGCAATTCCTGGGGTTCGGCTCCAAGGAAGACCTGGACTTAGTAGCGTTTGCGGGAACTCCTCGGCTCCGTGCTGCCAATCTCACCTTTCTCACACCCTGTCACTGTGCCTTAGTTTCCCCTGGTGCAAAAGGGAGTATTGGGAGGACCTGTAATACACGTTTGGTTTTAGAATAAATTATAGAGTACAAAAAAATGCATGCGTGTGCATACATGCATTTAGAGTCCTGTTTACATATGTGTGTTGTATGTGGGATTTTGGTATCTCTGAGATCACATACTGTATGCTTGTATAGCTCTTGGTATGTGCAGTGTAAATGTGACCACGGATGTCTGTCACCTATGTGTGGGTGCAGCTCTTTGTGTCAGAGAGTGTTATGGCAATTTTCATTTATTTATTTATTTATTTGAGACAGGGTCTCAATCTGTAGCCTGGCTGATCTACAGCCCACTAGGCTCTTCCTGCAATACCTGCCTCAGAACTGGGATTATGGTGTGTGCCACCACAACTGACTTTTTAATTGTCAAAGACTCTTTAAAATTATTAGTATGTGGGCAGGAGAGATGGCTCAGAGGTTAAGAGCACTGACTGCTCTTCCAGAGGTCCTGAGTTCAATTCCCAGCATCCACACGGTGACTCACAACCATCCGTTATGAGATCTGGCGCCCTCTTCTGGTGTGCAGATAGACATGGAATCGGAATGTTGTATACATAATAAATAAATAAATAAATAAATAAATAAATAATCTTTAAAAAAATTATGAGTATGTGCATATACCCACATCCACTCCTGCACTGACATACACACACAAACACACGCCTGCCAGTGGACAGCAGGTGTTCTTGGAGTCCACAGGTTTTGGAGCCTCAGCAGCTGGAGTTACAGGTTCCTGATGTGGGTGCTGGGAACCCAATACACACCGTCTCCGAGAGCGGTATGTGCTCTTGACTGCTGAACCGTTTCTCCAGCCTCTCTGTGACCTGTTTTGTTTTTTAGTTTTTAGGTTTATGTGTGGGCGTGTTTTACTTGCATGTATGTCTCGCACCATGTACATTGTTGGTCCCCTGAAGTGTTCTGAGGAAGGCATGGGATCCCCTGAAACTGGAGTTAGGAATGGTAGTGGGCTTCCATGTGGGTGCTGGGAACTGAACCTGGGTCCTCTGTAAGAGCAGCCAGTGTTCTTCCCTGATAAGCCCACTCCTAAGCCCCGGACCTGGTTTGAAAAGAAAGAGTGTGG